TTCTGCCAACTCTAGCTTCAATAAATGACTCAGTGGAAACTGGGGAATGAATCTTGACCTTTTCCTGCAATTACGAACAAATCCATTGAGGGAATATTGGAACTCCCCCACTGCTCCAGTACCATGTCAAAGTATTAACAATTTTCAGACCATTGACTGCCAATCAATTGCAAAAAGCAGCATTTATCTTTCCCCAAGTGGACTAATACTTGAAGCAAATGTTTGTGAATCAGATGCCAAGGAAACTTCAAGAAATTACTGTGAATTCATCCAGTCAAAATGTTCAATTCAGACAGCAAACAAATGATGAGCATTAACAGTTCTACTGGACGACCTTCCAACCCAACATTGAAGTATATAATCATGCTGAACATTATCAGCCAAATATTATTTTCTATAACTTTTTTATTGCTCAGGGAATGTGGGCATTACGCCTAGGCCAGCATTTACTGCTGGTCCTTAATTACCTCTACAATGGTAGTGCTAAGCCTCGAACTGCTGGAGTCACTAGTATGTAGTGACACCCATTGTGTGCTGGAAACGAGCTCTAGGATTTTGACACATAAATTATTATATTTTGCCAGATTATAAAACACATTTATCCTGAGTCATATTAAGATATCAAAATGGGTACTCTACACTTTCAACCCTATGCCAAAAAAGACTTAACTGTTTTCATGATTTCCTTCCTGCCCTGGACAAATTATATTAACAACAGATACAATATCTCAGTAAAGCTGTTGCCATCCAATATTTACTTGATACGCTCATGTAAACTCTCTTTCTACATGGTCAAACCTCCAGCTAAAATCAGTCCAGAGATTAATTCTGAATTTTCTAACCAAGTCCTTTCAAAGCAGAAGACTAGTTGCTTTCTATGAAAATGAATACACCTGTACAATTTTATTTGCCACTCAACAGAAACTCAACATTATCTTGGAACAAAGGGCATGGAGACTCAAAAGAGCAGGCAATACTGTCACATTGATGCCAGATCTCACACAGTTTAAATCCATGTTTGAATCATCCTGAGTAAATTTAAATAGGAGTGCACTTCTAGTCAGGCAAAGTGAATGAGAACAATCAATGCATTTGAATGAAATTTCATTTTTTTAAAAATAGCTCCAGATGTAATTAACATTAGACTAACACCATAGGAGGGTGCAGAATGAAAAACAAGATTTCAATCAATGTTTCCAAGTCACTACTTTTGCTGTTTTGTTGGGGTTATAGACAGAGGTCACCAACTGGTACATTCCCATTCTGGAATCACATCTAGGGGCAGATTTGGCCCTTCTGTGAATATACAAGAAATCTTGTAATTCTTTCCAAAGAATTCAAAATTATAGAATGCCTTATTTCAATCAGTATGTTTTCCCCTAAAGATTTTTAAAACTCAAACTTGGTATCCTGCAACACGTACTTGATTTCAATCATTTTCTCTCATGTTTTGTGCATCATCCATTATAACTCAACACTTCATCTTGGTTTGTCAGTTAAAAAAAAAGTACATACTACAGGCTATTCACCAGCTCTTATTGATGCATCTTTCATGTCAATAGGTAAGGAATTTGCATCCTTTATTCATTCATGGGACGAGGCCATCACTGGCTAGGCAGCATTTATTGCCGATCCCTAATTGCCCAGAGGGCAGTTGAGAGTCAACCAAATTGCTGTGGGTCTGGAGTCACATGTAGGCCAGACCAGGTAAGGATGGCAGTTTCCTCCTCTAAAGGACATTAGTGAACCAGATGGGCTTTTTCCAACAATTGACAACGGATTCATGGTCATCATTAGATTCTTAATTCCACATATTTATTGAATTCAAATTCCACCATCTGCCATGGCGGATTTCGAACCCTGGTCCCCAGAATGTTATCTGGGTCTCTGGATTAACAGTCCAGCGATAATACCACTAGGCCATCAACTCCCCATAAGAATAAGTATTGTCGGTAAGAAAGCCTCTTTTCTTAACGATGTCCCATTGCTGATTGCCCTGTGATGCAGCTTTGTGGCATCCTGATGTTTTCAATCTTGTGACTTATCCTACAGCTAATGAAGTTCTACCATAATAGTTTAATTAGTTACAACATTAGACAAGAAATGTATTCACATCAAGGGCATACAGTGAGAATTCAATGCTTTTGTTTTTGTTTTGGTAGATAGAAACTTAGGTGAAAGGATAAGGTTGAAAATTTGACACTTCCATATCCTAAGGCACACCAAATCCCATTCACCCATTACCTGTTTGGTCATTGAGCTACACAAGCTCTCAGTCTGCCAACACATCAATATTGAAATTCTCATGACAACAAGGTGCAGGGCTGGATGAACACAGCAGGCCAAGCAGCATCATAGGAGCAGAGAGGCTGACGTTTCGGGCCTAGACCCTTCATCAGAAAAGCCTAGGCCCGAAACGTCAGCCTCTCTGCTCCTATGATGCTGCTTGGCCTGCTGTGTTCATCCAGCCCTGCACCTTGTTGTCTCGGATTCTCCAGCATCTGCAGTTCCTACTATCCTTGAAATTCTCATCCCTGTTTTCAAATCCTTCTTGGCTTCAGCACATTCCAGGCATGTAACACCCTCTGGCCTGACAAAGGCTGGCGATTAGGTGCTCCTCTAATTCTGACATGTTGCTTATCCACAACTTCAATTGCTGTACCATTTGGCTGAGTCCTGAGCTCTGGAGTTCTATCCAGAAACTACTTTCTTTTGATTCCTTCATGTGATGAGGGCAGTGAGGAACTTGCATCTGCTGCCCTTGTCCTTCCTGGTGGTATTTGTCAGGGGTTTGGAAGATACTGTCGAAGGAGGCTTAAGTTACTACAGTGCACCTTGTAGATAGTAAACAGTGGCAACATTGTGAACTATCGGTGGTGAAGGGAGGGAATGTTCAAGCTGGTTTTGGGGTACCAATCAAGTGGGATACTTTAGCCTGGTTGGTGTCAAGATTTTAGAGTGTAGTTGGAGGTACATTTATCGAGCCAAGAGGAGAATATTCCATCACACTTCTTGCTTGTAACGTGTGAATAAACATTTGGGAAACAGGTGGTGAGTTACTTGCTGCAGAATTCCTAGCTTCTGAACTGTAATTGTAGCCATGGTTTTTGTAAAGCTAGTCCCCAGGAAGCTGTGCTTTACTGTCACTCCTTTTGTAGACAGCCTTCTTTCCTCTGAAATCTCCTCTAACCTACTTCAACCTCAATGGGTGGCACGGTGGCTCAGTAGTTAGCATTGCCACCTCACAGCACCAGGGACCCGGGTTCAATTTCAGCCTCCGGTGCCTGTGTGGAGTTTGCATGTTCTCCCTGAGTCTGCGTGGGTTTCCACCGGGTGCTCTGGTTTCCTTCCACAGTCCAAAGATGTGTAAGTTAGGTGCATTGGCCATTGTAAATTACTCATAGTGTGCAAGGATGTGTAGGTTAGGTGCATTAGCCATGGGAAATGCAAGCTTACAGGAATAGAGGAGGGGAATGAGTCTGGGTGGGATGCACTTAGGTGGATTAGTGTAGATCTTTGGGCTGAATAGCCTGTTTCCACACTGTGGGGATTCTGTTAAAAAATGTCATGCTGTGACTACTGGTTCATACACTAGCTCCTTTAATTTTCCTGCTCTGATCACACTCCTATCTAGATCCTCATGCACAACCCTAGCCTCACACCACCCCTTATTCAATTCACCTGATTGTTCTTCCTTCCTGACACACCTAATTACCCCATAGTGTTCCTCGCCCTAAATATTGCAGCTCACACCCTTCCTTCTTCCCATTGTCCCTAATGCTGTGATTCTCCCCTCTGCTTTCCAGTTTCCATTCCCCAGGATTCTTCCAGTGTCCCTAACAAACAAGTTCCATTTCCTAATGTTCCTAACCCAGCCCACTCTTACCTGACCCTTTTCTGTACTGCTTCCAACTGACTTCAGGTCCCATTTACACTCTGCCCCACTTAGGTTTGCTGACATCATCCAAAATGGCTGCTTCACTTGGATAAGCTTATTGACTTGGACAGGCTTCATCCTTATACTGTAAGTAACTGATAACAATAAGCAAGCCTGCATTTAACAGTCCTTTCATGAGGTGGTTGACTAGGAAAGGCTTCACCTATTATATTTGCAAGCCTTTGTGCAAAGAAATGATCTACTTATGAAGGAGGCAAGTAACCCCAGAAGTCTGTACTCATCAGAGCGGTAATACGGCCATAATTGTGAACATATATTTCCGGCTTTTACCAAACACAATTGCAAGTGTAAACATAGTTCCAGTGTTCTGGAGTATTAACAAATATTCATGGCATGCTAATGAATACCAAACAGGAGGCAGCAAAGCCAGCCTGCCTGAAAGCATTTAATAACAAAACTTCAGAAACAGTGCTTGGCCTCCTGTGCAATTAGGTTCCCTACCATTTGCCCATTCTCCAGAAAGCTCTGGGTCTAAATAGTTTTGCCTCTTGCTTCTAATACATTTTATAGTCTCAATTCTGTTTGGAATTTTATCAATGCCTTAAAACTTACTTTAAAGTGAATTTTTTGCATTCATTAGTTTTAAAAGCGCTGCTTAGTGTGAATCTGGCCTTGACAATTTCAGGTTCAAATTCAAATTCAGTCTTTTCTAATTCTGCAAACCTTAACTCAGTTACAACTAATTTTAATCCTCCTGGGCTAAAGAAAAACAAGGTCACTTTGATCTGATCACGATCAACTAACCACTGCTGCATCTTTAAATGAGTACAAGTTAAGCCTGTGCAATATCCTTTATAATATCTAAATCATTTAATAGAATGGCCTCTTGCATCAGTATCAGAGGTCATCATTGCCTTTGGAAAAATTCAGAACCATTAGGAGACTAAAAAAGAATGCTGAATAAAGTATATTTGTTGGTAATCAACATTATGTATTGCTGAACTAGCTTCCACTTAATAGAAGTGGTTCTCTTCCTCTGATTTTGAATCTCTTTGAACTCATGCAAGGTTCCCAAAACTTGGAACATTTTCAAATGACTTACCTTGTACTATCAAATGCATTTGTGACGTCTTAGGATTATGCTGGGTCTGGACGGAGCAGGTATATGGGCCATCATCAGTGATTTCTACTTTCTGAATCTGCAGACTATATTCCTGTTTACCGCCTGATGCGATAGACACCCGTGGATCCACGGACCATTTGTCATTCCCTGCAAAAATGATGCTGGACCGATTCAACCACGCTCCCTTTGAAGCAGCATCTTCAAGATAGCACCTGTAGACAATAAAAGACAGAAAATATTAGTTTCATATTCATTTCATATGAAGAAAATACAATTTCATTCCATGGCTTTTGTTTTGAATTTCTTTGAGCCACGCTTCTTTTTCATGTTCTTTCCACCACAGCCAATGTTGCTTGTCAAGTAGTGGTGCTTAACAGGCAGCTAATCTGCTAACATCAACTTTCTGCAAAGAAGTCAAAGGTCAGTGGGGAAGGCAAGAAAGTGGAGTTAAGGACACAATCAGATCAGCCATGATTGTATTGAACAGTACAACAGGCTAGATAGGCTGAATAGCCTCCTCCTGCTTCTTATTCATAATGTATGTATGTGCCTGGTCAATTGAATTTTATCGCTAAAGGTGTTAGAAGGGAAAGATCATGGTATAGTCCTCAGGAGTCTGGATTTCTTAGCTTTGCAAAATACACGTTCAACAATTGGTGAAAACCTTGCCAGCCTCACTTAATTATTTGCTAAAAAAAATGTGCTAGCAACAGGGAAAAAAAATCCCACTGCAATGTATTTATCTTCTTAATGTATTGAGCATGCTCAACTAGCCCAATATTTCATACAGTGGATGTTCTACTGCAGAGAAATTGATGAGATTCTCGTGATTCATAGGCCCTTTAGGACATCTTTCAGTTCAGCTTCTGCACCCGTTTAGTTAATATTGCTTGAATGATCATAATGTATTGTTGTAAAGAACATCGTATGAAGTCCTTCGCTGTCTATGGTATTGCATAATCTGTTCAACCTTGAAACCTTCCACGAAAGAATGGAAGAAGTAACTAATATTGTCTTGCTTAAGCACTATGTATAAAAGTAATTGGACTAATTGTGAGGCCTGTGATGAGAGTTGTTACAATAAATGCAACAGATCATTGAAAGCTGTGTAGAATTAGGATATTTCCCTTGAGCTCCTGGAAAAATAAAAATGTCTTGGTCTGGAAGATAATCAATCAAGGATGTTTCATGTCGAACATATGGTTAATAAGGTTTTCAGCATTTTGGAGCAAAAAGAAACTTGGCAAGACCTTTCTGCATAAGGTGGAAAAGCTGTATGAAGTTCACAAAGTAGGAATGAATCAACTGAAAATATTATTATCTCATTACAGAACCCACACCCTGATTTACATACATTGAATAAAACATTCTACAGGCCCACGTTTCCCTGACTGCTACAATCGGAGAGTGCTGCATTGCACTGAGACCACTGGAATAAGAAATCATCCTTTTTTATGTCCTTGAGAAATTGAGGTTTTGATCAAGAATAAGAAGGAAGCATATGTCAGGTATAGACAGCAGGGATCAAGTGAATCGCTACAAGAGTATAAAGGCAGTAGAAGTATACTTAAGAGGGAAATCAGGAGGGCAAAAAGGGGACATGAGATAGCTTTGGCAAATAGGATTAAGGAAAATCCAAAGGGATTCTACAAATACATTAAGGACAAAAGGGTAACTAGGGAGACAACAGGGCTCCTTAAAGATCAGCAAGGCTGCCTATGCATGGAACCGCAGGAGAGGGGTGGATATGAAATGACTATTTGGCATCAGTGTTTATTGTGGAGAAGGATATGGAAGATAGAGACCTTGGGGAAATAAATAGCGACATCTTGAAAAATGTCCATATTACAGAGGTAGTGGTGCTGGACGTCTTAAAATGCACAAAGGTGGAGAAATCCCCAGGACTTAATCAGCTGTACCCCAGAACTCTATGGAAAGTTATGGAAGTGATTGCCAGGCCCCTTGCTGAGACATTTGTATCATTGATAGCCACAGGTGAGGTGCCGGAAGACTGCAGGTTGGCTAATGTGGTGCCACTATTTAGAATAGGTGGTAAGGAAAGGCCAGGGAACTATAGACAGTGAGCCTGACCTTGGTGGTGGGCAAGTTGCTGAAGAGAATCCTGAGGGTCAGGATTTACATGTATTTGGAAAGGCAAGGACTGATTAGGGATAGCCAACATGGCTTTGTGTGTGGGAAATCGTGTCTCACGAACTTAATTTTTTTGAAGAAGTAACAAAGAAGATTGATGAGAGCAGAGCGGTGGACGTGATCCATATGGGCTTCAGTAAGGCATTCAACAAGATTCCACATGGTAGACTGGTTAGCAAGGTTAGATCACATGGGATATGGGGAGAACTAGACATTTGGATACAGAACTGGCTTGAAAGTAGGAGACAGAGGGTGGTGGTGAAGGGTTGTTTTTCAGACTGGAGGCCTGCGACCAGTGGTGTGCCACAAGGACTGGTGTTGGGTTCACTGCTTTTTGTCATGTGTATTAATGATTTGGATGTGAACATAGGAGATATGGTTAGTAAGTTTGCTGATAACAGCAAAATAGGTGGCGTAGCGGGCAGCAAAGAAGGTTACCTCAGTGTACAACGGCACCTTGATCAGATGGGTCAGTGGTCCGAGGAATAGCAGATGGAGTTAAATTTAGATAAATGTGAAGTGCTGCATTTTGGAAAGGCAAATCAGGGCAGGATTTATACACTTCATGATAAGGTCTTGGGGAGTGTTGCTGAACAAAGAGACCTTGGAGTGCAGGTTTATAGTTCCTTGAAAGTAAAGTCGCAGGTAGATAGGATAGTGAGGAAGGCATCTGATATGCTTACCTTTATTGGTCAGTGCATTGAGTATAGGAGTTGGGAGGGCTGCAGCTGTACAGAACATTCATTTGGCCACTTTTAGAATGCTGCATGCAATTCCGGTCTTCCTGCTATAGGGAGGATGTTGTGAAACTTGAAAGTGTTCAGAAAAGATTTACAAGGATGTTGCCAGGATCGGAGGGTTTGAGCTATAGGGAGAGGCTGAATAGGCTGAGGCTATTTTCCCTGGAGTGTCGGAGGCTGAAGGATGACCTTATAGAAGTTAAAAAATCATGACGGGCATAGATAGGGTGAATAGCAAGGTCTTTTCTGCATGGTAGCAGAATCCAAAACTAGAGGGCGTAGGTCCAAGGTGAGAGGGGGAAAGATTTAAAAAGGACCTAAGGAACAACCTTTTCACGCAGAGGGTGGTGCTTGTATGGAATGAGCTGCCAGAGGGAGTGGTGGAGACTTACAATTATGACATTGAAAAGGTATCAGGATGGGTATATAAATAGGAAGGGTTTAGAAGGATATAGGCCAAATGCTGGCAAATGGGACTAGATTTATTTAGGATATCTGGTCAGCATGGATGAGTTGGACCGAAGGGTGTGTTTCTATGCCGTACAGCTCTCTGATTCTATGAATCTAAGTAATCACCTTAATTTAATTAACACCTCCTTAATATGTCTCAAACTGTGCTGCCACTGATAGAGTCATAGAGAGGTAGAGCATGGAAACAAACTCTTCTGTCCATGTTGTCCATGCTGACCAGGTATCCTAAATTAATCTAGTCCCATTTGCCAGCATTTGATATCTGTTATTAAGTGCAATTTTACGCAGATAAATGCAGCAACACAATTTTCACCAGGTCAGATTACCTGATAGTGTTGGGAATACGGTATGAAGGGCATAAGGCATGCCATAAAGCCCAGAAGGTGCAAGTAGTTGCAGATAAGAAACTGGTCCATGTAGAAGGCATCCTCAGCATTGCTGCATGTGACATAGTTCTGGCCCATACCTCTCCTTGCCACGGTGATCACCTGAGCCATCTGCTGCATTATCTGGAGATTGAAAATGGACTGCGTTCTCAGATACATGATGCACAAGCTTCTAGATAGAGGAGCAGAAAACTTACCCAAAATCACCCTCTTCCTGATGGCTACAGTTGCATTGAGTTGTACAGAGGCATTCAATGTGCAGTCACCAAGCTGAGGTTCTGCCTATCTTTGATGTTGCAAAGGATGGATCTGGTCACATTGCAACAGAATATTCCAATACCATGCCATACTGCCTGTCCTTCGTGGAGACATTTATGCAAAAAATCTGTTGACTAAAGGCCTGCCAGGCAGTGGTCAGCACAAAGTCCTAGCGGCCACATGGAAAACAGAAGGGCAGGCCTTGTCAGTGAGTTCCCTAAGCAGATTGTCAAAGTCATTTAGGATTTGGCAGAACTTGCAGAAAAGCATCAAGATACAGTTTGCTTGCCAGTTGAAAAAGAAAGACCTTTTTTGCAAGATACTTCCTACAATCCTAGAATCTCAACCTCGCCTCACGTTGCCCTTGAGATGGCTTTAGTAAGGCCACTGTGACTGTTGTCTACTTCCTTGTGGAATGTGTTTTTGCAAAGAAAGTCTGGAAAGAGATGCAGTGGTTTTTTGTTTGGGTTTATCTAGGGCAGCTCTGTAATACAGGCCTCAACGCACGATGAGCAGTTTCCAGGGATGCAGACCAAGAAAATGTAGTTATGGGACCATCAAATTGGTGAAAAACTGCATTCGGTCTGTTGGAAACTATCAGTCTTCCAGTGCAAAGAGCTTTCTTTGATTGAATACTGCAGATTGGCTGGGGGATGTTCTAAAGTTGCTGCAGTGGTGCAATGGGGAAAGGTTGCTTTCTTAAGGTCCTTCAGCCATAGTACACCATTGTTCAAGAAACTGTTGAGCCTCTCAGTCTGTATGCCGGACATGGAATGAACATGATGAGTATCAATATTTTATTGAGACATTTTAAAGCAGAGTGTGTAAAGAAAATTTTATTTCTGTTACACTTTCTAAAATGTTGAACTTGAAATGTCTTGCCCTTGGGTTACATGATTGACATGGAAAGCATGTTGTAAGTAGAAAGGCTGTTGCAATTGTGTGGAGATAGCCAAGAATGAAACATGATATATGGTGAGAAGTTTAACTTTGTTCCATTTTTCATTTGCAAATTGTTTGTAAGGTACTTTTAATATTTAATAAATAAACACAGGAACAAAAACAAAGTTGCTGGAAAAGCTCAGCAGGTCTGGTAGCATCTGTGAAAGAAAAAAAAAGTTACTGTTTCGGGTCTGGTTCTGAGGAAGGGTCACCGGACCTGAAATGTCAGGTCATTTCCTTCACAAATGCTGCCAGACCTGCTGA